TTCATCATAAGTCCTTCAGAATTATCTTGGGTCATTGTATTGCTCAGAATAGCTAAGTCATTCACAGTTGATCATCATACAATATTGTTGTTATTGTATACAATGTTCTCCTCACTTCATTTTGCATCAGTTCATATAAGTCTTCCCAGGTTTTTCTGAAACCATCCACCTTTGTCCTGTCTTACAGCACAATACTATTTTGTCACAATCATATACCACAACTTGTTCAACCATTCCCCAATTGATGGGTATCCCTTCAATTTCCAGTTCTTTGTCACCACAAAAAGAGCTACTATACGTATTTTTGTACACAAAAGTCCTTTTCCATTTTCTTTGATCTTTGTGGGATACAGAGCTAGTAGTGGCATTGCTGAGTCAAAGGGTATGCATCATGTATTATAGCCCTTTGGGCATAGTTCCAAATTGCTCTCCAGAATGGTTGGATCAGTGAGTGATAAACTCTTAACACATCTTGACATTCTTTATTCTTTTCCTAATAGGACAGTTCTTTTTTTGTCCTAACCCAACTCCTACATGCTTGAGCCTCTCACCTTATTCGTTTGCCAAGTGACTGGCTAACTTAGCAGATTGGTGGGGTTGTTTGTCCTTTCATTAATTCAACAACACGTATTAAGTGCCTAGTGTGTGCTCAAATCTGTTCTGGAATACAAAGACAAAAATGAAATATTTCTTACCTACAAGAAGCTAATATTCTGTTGGGAGCTAAGTAAAAATAGGAAGTAATTTTTTTGTAAAGGGCACTGACAAGTAATGAGTGGGGAGGCTTAATATAGGAGGTGGAGTGATCAATGACTTGACTGAAGATAGGGCTTCTAAAGACAAAAGAGGATTACAGGACTACATTGAAAGTATGGAAGACAGTGTTTGTGGAGGCAAAGACCAGAGAGGTGATGTGGTGTGTGTGGATCGTTTGATTATGAGCCCTTTGAAGGCAAAACGTATCTTTTGCTTGTCTTTGTATCTTCAGTACTTAGCATAGTGCCTGGCATGCAGTAGGCACTTAATGCATGTTAATTGATTGTTGACTGACTGGGGAAAAGCAAATTGGCTGGTTTGGTTATAATGTCTAGTTTATATAAAGAAGGGTAATGTATCATTATAGAAAGGCACAGCCTTTAGAAAGGATCCAGACTGTGAAGGGCATTAAATGATGAATAAAAGAATTTGTGGTTGATTCCAGGGACAGCTAGGTGGCTCAGTGGATAGAGTGTTGGACTTGGAGTCAGGAAGACTCATCCTCCTGACAAATGTGACCTCAGACACTTTCTAGCTGTGTTACCCAGGGAATGTCACTTAATCCTGTTTGCATCTGTCAAATGAGCTGGAGAAGAAAATGGCAAACCACTTCAGTATCTGCCAAGAAAACCCCAGATGGGATCATGAAGAGTCAGACATGACTAAAAAACGATTAAACAAAATTTGATTCCAGAGGTAATTGGAAGCCACTGGAGCTTATTGAGCAGGGGAATGATGTGGTCAGACTTTTGCTTTAGGAATATCAGTTTGGCAGCTGTGTGGAATTTGGCTTGGAGAGAGAGGAGTCTAGGGACAAGGAGCCCAAATAGGAAGCTATTGTAATAGTCTAGGTAGGAGGTATTGAGGGCCTGATCTAGAGTGGTGGTCACATGAACAGAAAAGGATGCAGGAGATATGGTGGAGGTAGAATTTATAAGGCTTGGCAACTGACTGGCTGTGGGGAGGTGATGAAGGAGAGAGATGAGTCAGGAATTACTCCAAGGGTTGCAAACCTGGGGTGACAGAAAGATGGCAGTGCTCTCAATAGAAATAGGGGAGTTAAGCAGAGGGGACAGAGAATGAATTTTGTTTTGGACATACTGAGTTTAAGATGCCAATAGGATATTCATCTGAAAATGTCTAGTAGTCAAGTGATGAAATAGGACCAGGCCTCAGGAGAGAGACTAGACCTGGGTATATAAATCTAGGAGCCATCTGTAAAAAAGATAATAGTTGTACCTGTAGGATCTGATGAGATCACTGAGTGTGTGTGTAGGGAAAGAAGTGACTAAGGCCCAGGATAGTTTTGTTAATCATAGAGCAAAAAAAAAAAAAATTTACGCTATAACCCTCTAAAGTCCACCTCTGTAAAATATTTCATTGGATACATTTAGAATTTTAGAACTTAACCATTTTTCTATTAATCATTTCTTAATGAGGAAAACTTCAGAGCTGATCCTTTGAAAATGTTTTGATTATCTTAGCCACTTTAGGAAATTTTGGGGGGAGATTAATTTTTATTTTTTCACTTAGCTGCCAAAGTGATCCTCCTATAGTGAAAGGTCTGACCATGTCATTCTCCCCTCCCCAACTCATCCCCCACATTTGATAAACTCTAGTTGTTTTCTTTTATATGCAAAATTAAATATAGAATTATCTGTTTGACTTTTAAAGCCCTTCAAAACCTGGCCCCTTCCTGCCTTTCTAATCTTCTTATACCTTCTTTCTTTCCTGAGTACTCTTCTATCCCATGACTCACATCCTTGCGGTTCCATTTTCACTGATTGTCCCCTCTTCTTGCAGTTCTCTGCCTCCAAGCTTTGCTGGTTTCCTTCAAGTCTCAGTTAAAATCCTGCCTTCTGCAAGAACCGTTTCCCATCTTCTTTAATGTCAGTGACTTCCCTGTGAGATTAACTCCCACTTTATCCTGTCTGAATCTTGTTTCTGGAGCATGTTTTCTCCCTCTGTTGGATTGGGAGCGCCTAGAGGGCAGGCACTGTTTTTGCCTTTCTTTGCATCCCTAGGGAGCACTTTGCTCAGTGCTTGGCACAGTAGGTGCTTAATAAATGCTTACTGATTTGACTTCTCATATTTTATAATCAGTAACTTTAATGAAGTTAAATGTTTAATGACTACCATCTATTAGCTTTGTACTATAAAAATAAAAGGAAAATTTTATTTGAGGCCTTTGGATGTGAACAATGAATACCTACTTATAGTTACTTAATCGCGGGATAATTTGGGTACATGATTTATAGAACACAGTTTTAAAGTTTCAGAAATATAAAATTTTTAAAAAGCAGATTTGATTTTCATAAAATATTGGAGCTAGAGAAAGGACCTTATGCTTCATCTAATCCAACTCATTTTACTGATGAGGAAGCTCAGTCTCCGACAGAGGTACTTAACTGAACTACCCCTGGCTTTGGCAGGGCAGAATTGGCCCTATCTCTTGCTTTGAGGCCTTCATGGTAGTTCTGGGCATTTCCATTTATGTCAGCCCATTTTCTCCCTCATCTCCATTACAGTCCTTTATGTGTTCTCTTCCCCATGTGATTTATTTAGAAATGGCAAATATTTTCTTTGTATCTTGGTACGTAGAGGATTGGCTAACATTTTTTAGTTTAATTTTAGATATTTCTCTTAGATCTTTATACTTTTAAAAACATTTATAGAATCATAGAATGTTAGCATTGGAAGACACCTCAGAGGGTGTTGAGCTTTATCTTAGCCCCGATGTGGGTGTCTCTTCATCAGTGTCTCAGAAAAGTGGTCATCCTTTCTCTTTCTTTGAACCTTGAGAGACCTCTTTTCATTGATGAGTAACTAGTTATTTGGCAGTTTTTAAGCTGAAGATTGCCTTTTTGTAATTTCCTTGTTTTCATTCTTATTCTCCTCACTAGATCTATGTAGTATTATATGAGTTCTTCTGTGTCACTGCTATTTGAAGAGAGATTCCCTCAATCTATTCTAGACTAAATGTCCACAGTTCTTTCAGATATTCTTCATATGTAACGCAGTTGAATTTCCTCACTCTCTTGCCTGCTTTACTCTGAATGTGTACTTAGTTTGTCAAGGTTTGTCTTAAAATGTGATGCCCAGAAGTCAACACGGTATGCAAAGTGAATCTACCTAATAAAGAGCAGTAATGGAACTTAAATGAGGTCTCTGGTTCTGGACACTATATGTATATTAATAATGCAGCCTAATATTGCATTAACTTTTTTTTGGCAACCACAACATAGTGTTGACTCATACTGAAATTGTAGTTAACTAATGCTGCCAAATCTTTCTCAGTTGGTTGTTGTACAGTAGCCATGTTTTCCCTGACCCAGCCTCCTCCTTCCACATCCAGTCAGTAGCCAAGGACTGACCTGTTGGCTCTCTCATGTCTGTCCTCCCCTTGACATTCACATTGACACCATTCTAGTCAACATGCTGCCTGGAACATAGTCGGCATTTAGTAAATACTTGTTGATTGAGTGCTTCTCTCCTTTTGAATTATTATAATAGCCTGGCTAACTAGTTTCTTTACATTTAGTCATTCTCTTCCATAGTCTGTCCTTTATGTTGCTGCCAAAGAAATATTTTGAATGTGTTTCTTTGATTATATTATCCCTTTACTCAAAAAGTTTCAGTGGTTCCCCATTGCTGCCGAAGGGTAGCATCCTTACCTCGTAGGAGGGGCTTTCCTTACAGCTTTATTTTCTGCTACTCAGTGGGACCGGCTCCCTGTTCTTCCATCTCACCCTTCTACTTCAGAGTCTGTGTGCTGTGCACTTGTCTGGAGTGGGTTCCCCTTCTAGCTCTAGCTATTGACATTTTTCTTGAGGACTCAGCTTGGTTGCCCTTCTGCCATGAGATTTTTTTCTGATCCTTCTGCTAGAGGTGATTCTTCTCTCCTTGAATTTCTTCAACCACTTGGATATTGCCTAATTATCTTGTAACTTGTCTAATAGTAATTTGTGCACATTTCTTGTATCCCTGTGAGATTTTTAAGGGCCAAGAAGGCAGAGATAGTGCCATTTTTTCTTCTTTGCATCCCCAGTGCTAGCACAGTGCCTTACACTCAGTGGATACTTAATTCTTATTTGTTAAACTGAATCTTGTCTGTGTGCTTTTGATTTCTGAACCCTTTAATGCAGTACTTTACATTCATCATTACTGAATTCCATCCTGTTGGAAACCGCCAATTGTTCCAGACTGTCTTTTTGGGTTTAGCTCTCTTATTCTCATATTCTCAGATATGCCAAGGATGCCTTCATCCGAGTTATTGATCAAATTGTTGAAGAGAACAGTGTCAAAGACAGAGAGCCCTGAGCTGGCCACTAAAGACCCACCTTCAGGTTGGTGTCAATCTATGATAATCAACAATTGGGAGAGGAGCATGGCTTAGTGAATAGAGTTTGGTGTTTGGAGTCAGGAAGACTTGTGTTTAAATTCTATCTCTGATAGAATTTAATTAATCTACCACTGACCATGGGGAAATCACTTAACTTCTCTAAACTTCAGTTTCCTCATCTATAAAATGGGGATAATAATACCAGTAATACTGTACCTACCTCACTGGGTTGTTGTGAGACTTCAGCAAGATAATGCATGTGTAAAATACTTTGAAAACTTTAAGGCATTATATAGAGTGTCCCAGTAGTCTTAGTTTTCATAACTTACAACTGCACTAAAACTTTTGGGACCTTCTATATTAATGTTAATTATTATGGTCATTTGATCATCCATAAATCTTACTTATATGTGCTTAGTACAGTGCCTGGCATGTAGTAGGTGCTTAATAAATGTTTATTGATTGGTTGATTGTACTGTCATCTGTCTTGTATCTGTAGCTTATTCATGAGAACATCATAATAGAGAGCTAGATGCTTTTCTGAAATCCACATAGACTGTGTCTGTGTATTCTTCCTGTCTACCAGTCTAGTAATTTTGTTTTAAACTGTGTAACACATTCAGCCCCTTTAAATGCTTCCCTTTTCTTTTCCTCATCAGGACCATTTGTAGTTGAATGGCTTGACTACCTTTGTGAGAGCCTCTCACCCTTGAGCTGCCTTCCTTTTTAGAATCATTGAGAGGAATGAGATTGTTCTTTGAATTTTCTAAGATCTCCTTTCTTAAAGTCTAGGATCCATGTTGGACTGTGTATATTCTCAGTTATGCATCGTTGGTTATCATAAACTCCTAAGATGACAGGATCATTTTCTCTCACATTGCCTGTTGTTTCCACTTTACCAACCATGTCTTCCATATTGGTCAGAATTAGGTCTAAGAGTAGCATTTCCCATTTCACTGGAAGAGATAAAATTGTCAGCAAATCAAAGCAAGAATTTGCTAGCACAGTGAGTCTTCCAGCACATGTACAGGTGGTTGAAGTCTTCCCTAATTACTGCTGTGTTTCCCTTCTCTATGACCTTCTGAGGTATATCAGAAGTTAATCTCCTATTAAAAAAAAAGTCTCCCTGAGCATTCTGTATACTCCCACAACGTCACTTCTGTTTTTCTCTTTTAACTTTCTTCATGCTCAGCTGTGCTTCTCTGTCCACTAGCCTCCCAGATTTGTGGATTTTCCTTTGGTATGTAATATATACTGTGGTTATTTTGACTTATAGTTCTTTGCTGTGTTTTCTCTTAGTTCTTTTTCTTTTGAATAAGATATACTCTTCTATTGCTTTATTCTAGTCGTGAGTCTCATCCCACCAGAGCTTGGTTAGTAACCAATGAGTTTTATCTTTCAGCATTAAAATCTTAAGTTCGCTTTGTTTACTGTTCTTTGTACATTGCTATATGGACATCTGAGTACATAAGTGTTGTTCCTACTCTTCTCAGTTATTTTCTCCTGTGAATTACTGGACATTTCCTCTCCTTCTGTTCCTTATGTATTGTACTTGATGTCTTCCATATTATCAGAATTTATAGTTTTATCGGTTTTTTTTCTCCTTCCCACTCCATTTTTGATTTAAAAGCCCTCTTGATCAAGTCTGCAAGCCTGTGGCCAGATAGGATCTTTCCATTTTTTGTTGAGATATACATCATCCTTAGCTAAGAGCTCACCATTCTGGTTCTTAAGCTTTGTATGGTCTAGAAACAAAACCATGTTGTGATTTAAAATATTTTTTCAAATAATAAAATACTTCTGCATTTATGAGTTTTTTAGGGGGTAAGATGGAGAAAGAGGCTCAATTTGACTTTATCTTAGAATCATAGGCTTTTTAAAGCTATTTTTAAAGTGAATACATGAAGGCCTTGATTTCATTGGTATAAGAGCTCCTTCTACTAAGGACAAACTGAATTGAGGGTTTCCTGGTTCCCTACCCAGCTGTCTATCTATAAACTGTCGTCTTCAGTTTCTTAATATGGGGGAGATGCTTGCTTTTTTTGTTCTAGGGCCTCCTGATGAGATGAATGCTGCCAGTATGTCTAGTAGGAGTGAAAATGAGTATCATGAGCCCAGAAGAATGACTAAAGGGTGTTTTTTTTTTTAAGGCCTTCATTCTTACCCTGCTGACCAGACCATTGTCCTTGTTCTTCATAAGTTCAGAGATGATATAATTGGAATCCTGGTCTTTGGTTGTCCCTGCATGTAGTATCGTTTGTTCTCCAAGGCTGGGCAAATAGAGTACCAGTGCTGGCAAATGTTCCCAAGTTGAGAAACCTTGGAGTGTGTCTTGGTGACTTGGTGTGAGTTTGTTGCCCAAAGAGTAGATGAGGTAAATTCAGAGAAGCCCATCACTTGGGGTGCTGCTGAGTGGTACAATTTTCACCCCAAGAATAGAGATTCTTGCAGTCTGTGTGGAAGCCTACCCTCGGGGAAGAAGGTGCTTCCCCCCTGAACGCCCCAGAGCACTGTGAGGTAGGCAGGATCCCTTGTGGGGTGGAGGGGTTGGTGTAGTGGGTGGCAGACAGCCAAACCCAGGGAGGAAACCATTTAACTTTTCACAATCAAGCCTCCATGTTCTCTGCAGCTGAATGTTCTTCTGTCTTCTCTCTAGATGATCATGGGAACAGCAATGGCAGTCATGTAAAAATCTTTTTACCGAAAAAGCTGCTTGAATGTCTACCGAAATGTTCAAGTTTACCCAAAGAGAGGCACCGCTGGAACACTAATGAGGTAGATACAGTACCATTTTTTAGGATGTAATTTTTAGGTCTCGATTTAGATTCCTATTTTGTGAAGGCTTGGAAATCAAAATGTTGAAATTGAAAATGGGATTGGAAAAGAACATTACACTTGGATTCCATAGAAGCCAAAATGTTTCTGGAGTTTGCTACTTAAATCAAAATTGTTCTCTCTTACATGCTTGGTTTGTTTGGGGAAAGACAAAATATGCATACTGACTGACTAACGTAGCATGAGCCTTTATTTGTATTTTCTTATATTTTGGTGTCTCAGAAGTGTGGTTAAACTCTGCATGTATCTGAGTTAAACATTAGTTCTTACTGTTGTCACGAATTAATGAAGACATAGCTTCTGTGTAATATGCAAGGTCTTGCCAGTATAAAGTTACTATTAAAAACAGTAATGATAGAGTACTTATTAGCAAAAACAGTACTTAGGCCTTTTAGATGAAAAAAAGTTTCTCTTGGAGAATTAATAAGTTTAGCTTAATTAAAAGGCATTTTTTATTAAGCACAGTGGATATTCACTGCATGAGGTCTTAAAAATTTGGTATACAATTCTAAAGTTGATTAATAAAAGGTTCTTTTTTGAAATGACAGCCCTTCTCCTCAGGGAGAGGTTGGATTATGGGTCTTAATGCTGTGAATGTGCCAGAACCTGGGTCATCCTTTTCATTTTAGAAATCTGAGTATTAGAATCTTAAGAATAACCCTGCTTTACTGGGTATGAAGTAGTGGGAGACAAGAACATCAACACGAGACTCTTTCCTTAATATTTAGTTAACTTAAAGATAGCAATTCTGCCAAGGTTGAAGTGGTTCACCATTTAATTCTGTGTTCATGTAACACTTAACCATCTTGGTGGGTGCCCCGTTGCATTTAATAATTATATTGGAACAATAGTGCTACTTTGCTACTGTCACTTTTCTAAGGTCCCTTTGCTCTTGCTTTCCTCAAGTAGACTTTGTCTTACATTGCTGAACTTGTTTATATAGATGAAAAATTGTGCGTGGTGATTTCAGTATCCATTGTAACCACCTCATTTTTAGTATCTTTGAAGGGAGAAGGAAACTTTTTAATTCTTTGTGGAAATTATGCCTTTTCCTCCCCAAATGGAATGACTTTTCCTGTTATAGAAACATTAGGTTGTTTAAAGCCATATCATCACAATCAATTTTAAACTATTTTAAAAGTTCTGTTGTGATTGAAACTCAGTAAAGGTAGAATTTTATTAACAGGATGTAAACCTGCCAATAAGAAATGAGTCAATGGCTCTGCCTCAGTTTTAAGCCAAAGATCCTAAGTTGAAGATTTAACTCATTTTTATGAGGTTGGAATAAAGAACAGAACGACATCATGTGGTTGAAGATGACATGATTGGTTACATGGCTGAGGAGAGGGGAATAATATGATTGATTAGAAGCTGGGAATTGAGGGGCTACAACAACCCCTTCCTTCCTTCCTGTGACTAAGAAGTGTTCATGGTTTGAATTCACCTGCAGGATTAAAAGATAGTGGCTCAGGCTTCTTGGGATATCAAACAAGACATCCTTGCAGAATATTTTGGTGACGTAAAGATCCTAGACCACACTCCCTGCTATCCACCTGCATCCCCCAAGGACAGCAGAATTCTTGGAGGCAGGAAGAAAGCAGTGCTTAGCAATGGAGTTGGATTTCTGAACTTAGCTCATTGCAGGTCAGCTGAATTTCTGCACTAAGTTCAGAGACAAAGAACCATGACTTAGGCAGTTACAGGACAGAAACAATTGATTGTAAAAATAGGATCAATAAAAGATGATAGAGAATCAGTTTCATCTTCTCAGTTCTAAATGTGAAAATGAAATTAAAATGCACTAAAAGTTGTTCTGAATAACCAGTGCCTGAATTTCTTCCCCCAAGTAAACGCCCTTTGACAACTACTGGTCTAGCTTAGTTCATGTAACCAGATTGTGAGCCATTTAAAAAACTCATTTTGAATCAGAAGGAACCTTAGAGAGATCATCTTATTCAATGGCCATTTTATAGATGAATAAACTGGTACCAGAGAAGTTAAGTGGGAATGGAGTCAGAGTGCTGTTATTGTTTTCATTTCAGTTGTATCTGACTCTTTGTGATGCTATTTGGAGTTGTCTTGGCAAAGATACTGGAGTGGTTTGCCTTTTCCTTCTCCAGCTCATTTTACAGATGAGGAAGCCGAGGTTAACGGTGTGAAGTGACATGGTCACACAGCTAGCAAGTGTCTGAGGCAAAATTTGAACTCGGGTCTTCCTGACTCCAGCCCCATGCTCTGTGTGGTGTGGCACCACTTAGGTTCCCCAGGAGCCAAAATTCTTGCATTCAGATGCCGACATTTAATATCAGGTATTAAGTCTTCTTAATAATAATATAAATATACATAAAAATAGAAAAACTCACACTTTTTCCACTTGTGACCCTTTCAATGCTTCTTAAATTGTGGGTCGCAACCCCATGTGGGGTCATGACCCACAGTTTAAGAAGCACAGTGTGACCTTGTACAAGTCTCTTAACATCTTTAGGCCTCAAATTTATCATCTGTAAAGTGAGAAAATTGGTCTAGATGATAAATAAGGTCCCTTTTAATTCTAAATTTATGCTGTTAGGGTCCGACAGGGAGTCAGTGGTCGAGCCACTGTGAGAATTGAAGTCCTTTAACTCCATATTTAGTGTTCTGTCCCCAGGATTGCATTCCTTTTTCTGTTTTTACTAAAATTTTAATTTGTTACTGAAATATCATAAATCATTTCTAGCTTATTTTCTGCTGTGGCCAAATTTCTTTACTTCATTACTTGAATGGATTAGTGATCTTATCATTGTGGAACTCCCCTCAACTGGTGCAGCCCATCCACGTCTTCTTATCCTGTGAGGTTAATTTCCATGTTGTCCTATTTAGTTCTCTGCAGAGGATCCACTTGGTATGATGGAGGTCTTTCTCTAGATCTTTTTTTCATTTCGTAGGTGTTATGTTGGCCTGCCTGTTTGTCATCATGCAGTCTCATCACACAACTGGCCCACCTTTTCCAGCCATGCTTCCTCAGGAATCTGTCTTGTGCAGCTTCTTTGGCATAGGCCATTATTGGAAGTATGCTGCAGATAGGTCTTTTGTGTGTGGAAGGGAGTCAAGAGGGGGGCATTAAGCCCTTTTGTAACGCTTAAAAGCAATGTGTAGTTTCCCAAGTATAATCTAGCCTGCTTCTTTACTCTCATTTAATTTTTTGGTCCAGTTGATGGTTCATTTGCACTGGTGTATCAACTCAGTGCTATTTAAATGCATCTCATATGTAGTACAGTAAACATTTATCATCCGTTTAGAGTATATGTTAAGTTTGTGTCATAGGATTATAGATTGAGAGGTGGGAGTGATGTTGGGAAGATCTAGTCTAACTCCCTCATTTGTAAAATGAGGAACATGAGGCCCAAAGATGTTAGGAGGCTTCTCCGGGGCTATACAGGCAGTCACCTGGATTAGGATATGAACCACAGGCCTCTGTCTTGAAATCTAGTGCTCTTTCCACTGCATCTGGTTTGGAGGATTTTGTCAGGTTCTTTTATGCCTCTTCAACCCCTATGATAATGCTGAGTCTTCTTACCTTTGTGGCAGGCTCTTGGCTTATGTTTATCAGGAGATAACGATGTGTTCCATGCTTTGCTCCTTGTTTTGGTAGGGCCAACTCCATAAAGAGAACCTGAACACTATCCTTCCATTTTGTCTTCTGGTTTTGTTTATCCTGAACGTGTCAATATTGATATGCTTTAGTTCTTCCAGTAGTTTGTCAATTCATTAGTCATTAGGCCAAAGTCTCACGTTTAGATTTTTATGGTTAGGTTAATGTTTACAAATAGTCTAAAATCTGTTATTCTTAGCACCCTCTGCCTTGTTTTCAGTCACTGTGGAAGTTAAAGGGCACCGCATAGGACTGAGGACCCTTTACAATTTTTATTTGTTTTATGGTTTGCCATGGCCAAGGAATTCACATAGTGACCAGCCTATTGATGAAGTTCTCTGTTTTAAACTAGATTGTTCTACAAATGACAAACTCGGCCTGTTGCTGGGATTGTAATCAATGCCTTTTCAGCATGGTAGAGTCTATCCAGAACTTACACTCTCTTGGCAAAGCCTTTGAGAAATTAGGGTCACTTCCACTCTGTGACAGGGCATTAGAATAATTCTTGAAATACATAAATATACCATTTGTGTATTTTATTTTATTTTATTTCATTTTATTTTTTTTGCTTTTTGTGAGGCAATTGGGGTTAAGTGACTTGCCCAGGGTCACACAGCTAGTAAGTGCCAAATGTCTGAGGCCAGATTTGAACTCAGGTCCTCCTGACTCCAAGGCTGGAGCTCTGTCCACTGCACCACCTAGCTGCCCCCCTATTTGTGTATTTTAAAACGCAGTGTTTCATATTTTACTAGGCAGTATGATTTTTATATTCTGTGTTAGGTGTCACTCAGCAGATTATGAAAATAATGATTTTAAAGAATTGGTATTTTAAAATGATGCTAAGTTGTACCAGGAGTTTGGGAGGACGTTTTAAATACCTACTTGTTCTTGCCAGTTGTATAGTTCATAATACTAATGAGGCTGGGATTGGAGTCTTGATAGTTTAGGTTCCCAATAAGGAAAAGCCTTCACCATATTGTTTACCTCTCCCTGACCAGATGTATCATAATCTGTGAACCCTCCCTCAGTCCGTCCCCCCTGCCCCCCTCCCCCCCACCCATTTGGTCACAGGGAGAACCAGGAAGGAAAATGTGAATGACTTTTTACAAACTATCATCGATAGTAAAAGAAAATTAATAAACCAAAGTATATGTGCCACTGATGCGTGGTAAAATATCAGGGAGTGTCATTTGTCCAAGGCGGCCTTGGTGTTCCTCTTTCTGTTAAATTGAATTACTCATTCACCAGCCCCATTGGGGCAGCTTTAATGATAGGGTGGAATTCTAAGGTTTGAGCATTTTTGTTTAAG